GTCGAGGTGGTTGATGAGGTCGAGGTGGTCGATGAGGTCGAGGTGGTGGTCGGACAACACACCCAGTTGATTGCAAAGTTGCTGATTGACTGCAAGTTATCATTAGCTGGATTGATACTCTGGCTCACAATGCAGAACGGCATCTCTTCAATCCATGGTTCGCAAAATCGGTCATCTGGGTCATTGCTGTTGAAGGGGTTGGTCGAGCAATTCAGGCCTGTCTGGTCAAGGCACACTCGACCGGCCACCCCACCTGAGATGCACACGTAGGTTGGGCAAATGCCTGGTGGTGGATTGACACAAATGGTGTAGGTTCCATCTGGGATGCCTTCCACCTGTGCGCTGACTTGGTTGGGCACAGGTTGATCTGGGTTGTCACAGTAGTTCACATTGCCACCGACCTCTGCAAACCAGCAAGTGGCGTCCTCCCCTCTGTCTGACAATTCGTCAATGGTACAGATCTCACCTGTGGCACACTGACTATTGAGGAAAGGAAAAACCACGTCGCTCAAGTTTGCAGCGTCACACTGCTGGGGCGGAGGCAGCGGGTCCCCACTGTTGGTCATGAATCCCAAAACGTTGGCTTGGCCCTGACGCCCTTTTTGAAGGTATGACGATGAGTCGGCATCGCATTGAGCTTGAGTTGTTTGAGCCGGTGAGATCATCGCAAGCCCCACGAGAACCAAGGGAGCAAGGAGTAAGGCCATGGCAGAAGGAGTGCGAAGCAGGTGCACAGAGTATACTAATACAGTACACTCAAAAACGAATTAGACTTGCCAAGTTAGACTGTGCCTTGGCAGGACTTGAGAGTACCAGCCAGTTGCAAAGTTGGACAAACAGCAAAATAAAGCGTATGTTCTTTTTTAAATGTGTTCCTTTTTTTTCAAAACATCCATAATATGGGTCTTGTTTCACATGGACAATCGCAGTGACATGCACTAAACGTGGAGAATCGCAGTCTCAGAACACTCATCTTGCGACACGTTGGGGGCCACCCCGCCGTGCTCTGCGTCGCTCCGTCGCTTCTCTGAGGCCCTCGGCCAACAGCAAATTTCCGATGAGCCACATGATGGGTAGCAAGCCTGGCGCTGATATCAAAGTCCGTCAGCCATGCTCTGGCTCTTGGGTTCCATTTCCAGGTCGCAGGGAGATCGGCTTTTCCCCATGTATTTCATAGAGAAACGGATCAAGTATGCATAAATAACGTATACTGTAGAAGTTTAGAAGTTGAGTGCGTGCCTCTCATACAACAAGGCACCAAAACATCCTTGTGCTTGCGTTTGTGTGCATGGGCCTGGGTAGGGGGTATTGGCCGGATACCAGGTTCACGTCCACCTCACCAAACCAGTGCTATATGGGTTGCGGTGCATGTTGAGCAAGCACTGAGGTGCACTCAGTCCTTGGTCAGCTCCATCTGAGATCGAGTCCAACCTCAAATGATAATATATAGCTATAATATGCTATAATGACAAGTTGCAAGACTGATGAGTGCTCGATTCAGCCAAGGAGTTTCCATGAGTTTCCAGGGCTCTTTGCAAATCTGGAGTGCTACCGTGGTCTGTCAGAGGGATTGCAGTACGGTGTCGCCACTCCTCGGTGGGCCAAGCCGATCCATGGCTTGAAAGAGAGGACGTTGGAGGACATCGCTAGTAGGAAGTCTACGATGGTCTCCATGGTTCTTTTGGAGACTTCCAGATTGAACGAACTGGGGAAGAGCCCATCTCCAACATCACCAATCACTTAGGACGTCCATCAAGTCCGTCAGAGGGACTGCAGTACGGCGTCGCCACTCCTCGGTGGGCCACGCGGATCCGCCGTTTCGCGGTAGGCCAAGCCGATCCATGGCTTGAAAGGGACGACCTTGGAGGCCATCGCTAGTGGGTTGGAGGCCATCACTAGTAGGTTGGAGGCTAGTAGGTAGTCTACAAGAGCCTATCTTCAACATCACTATCACCACTTTCTTGGGGTGCTTTGTGCCAGTGGAAGCAGCCAAATCCACAAACGGTCTTGTTGACCACGAAACAGAGCAACAATCATCTCGAACCAAGTCTTGCTCTTCACCTTGCAAGGGGCCCCTCTTTGCTTGAAAGAATTTGGGGACATCTAATATATATAAGTATAAAATAGTCTCTCGGTGACCCGTCAACACGGCATCTATCTCATGGAACGCATGCATTGGAATTCTCTGTTACATTTGGGGAATTTGGCCGAGGTCTTTTGCAAGACTGGGATCCCTGCTGACTAGCTGAAGAAAGCCGAAGGCCTCAGCTTGACAGTGCTCATCTGTGGGAAGCGTCGTTTTGTGGACGAAACTTCTGATGCAGCGAATATAACCAAATTCAAATTCCAGTACAACACTCCACATAACATCTCTGGAAGATGGTCATTGAACAATGACATGGAAATTACATGTTACCTCATTTCCGGAAGATTCTGCGCGATATCACATCAAGCGCGTGAAGCAGACTGGAAGGTCAAGATAGAGACTCTGATTCCTTGGGGCTAAAGATCCCACATTGGTGTCTCCAGTGTCTCTTCCCCTGAACAGCACAAAACACGGCATATGCAAGCATGGAAGTGAAGCAAACCCGAAAGAACATGCAGAACTGTATGTCAGGATGCTAAACGAATATCACTACAGGGCTTCTACAACGTAGGTGCCCTGTTTTTGCATTTTGTTTTTGCCTCAGGCACCTTTTAGACGCACAGTCCTTCATTTCATGATGGACGGCAAAAACAAACACTTTCTTTAGAACAGTAAAGAACGGACGACCCCAATCTGACAAGTAGTTGATGAATCCATTGAGTCATGGGTAGCTGTTTTCTGTCCTGTGCCCAGAATCTAGTGCTCTGTCTTGCTGCATGCCTTTGCTGACGGCTGACTGTTACCAAAACTCTTCTTAAATCATTCTTGGTAATTACTGAGATGTTTTGATTTTTAGGGTGAAACCGGTGAACACCTTGAGAACCCCCAACCGTTTTTCACTAAAAATGGGTGAACAACGACTTATTTGGTACGCCAAACCTGCTGTCTCAAACATCCGCCGGCTGCGGAAAAAACCTCTTAGGTCGCTGCCATGAAGGTCGCTTCTGCCGTGGTCCAGAGCACTACATCACGTACCTCCAAAGCGTCAGTTAGGGCGGTGGAACCTGCGTTCGATGGAACGAATGAGATGAAGGCTCCGTCAGCTGGGTTTCTAGGCTTTTCTATGCATGCGCTTTTTGGACTATATAGACGTTGTAAACCCTTTGGCCATCATCCAAGAGATCAAAGGTGCGATCGTTTGGAGTTTCGTCCATCAAGCATGACTGGCTAAGTAGTTGTCCGATCATCTAATTTGAGCAAACCATTCCTTGCCAAACCGTTTTATATTTTTTTTGTTAAACAACTCCTAATCTTGATTCATAAACACCCCTAAAACTTGTGCAACATGGCGTCTGTATTCATTATTTATATATACGCAATCAATACTCCATACTCATCTGCATAATTCATCGAACGTCACTCTCGGTCTCAGTCTAAAAAGGCCTTCTGGGAGACGACATTGAGAACTTTGGAGATGCTCTCGACTGCCACCTTGATGGCGTCCTCGAACCGCCAGAAAAGTACCCCCCAAACCGTCGGTCTACCTGGAAAGACTGCCATTGAAGATGCCAAGCCACAGGGAATGCCAAGTGGGTGCTTGTTCACATCTACCTTCTTTTCCACACCAAACTCATGGCACATTTGCTCTCTGGCGCTGGTAGACATGCTCTCCGAGAATGCCCGTGTGCGCGTGAATAAAACATCGACATCGGCACCGTCCTGCGAGAGAATCTCGATGCTATGGTCTGCTGATTGCGGTGCAGCATACCTCGTTTTGGGAGGTAACATTGGGTAACCCACACCCATGGGACCATCCAGCGCCAACGTTGATTGAAGCACCGATGGGACCTGAGAAGTGGTTGGTTCTTGGCCAGCTTGGTTTTGGGCGCCTCTAGGTGTTCCTTCCCACCAATGAGAATCGTTTCTTTCAGCATGGCAACTCTGTTGAGCCTGACACACCATGCGCGTCAGTTGACCTCGCCTGACAGCGCCGCCCGCCATCAGCACCAGGGTGAAGATATTGCAAAGAAATGGCACCAACCTCAGAACTGGTCAACTCACCGAATGCGGCCGGGCGATGGTAGGGACTGATCCATTGGGAACCCAGTTGACAATACATTTTCTGGATATGTCTGGATGAGACTACACAACAAGCTGCGCCACATGAACGCGTTCCCCGCTTGGTACTGCTCAGCGGCAGTCTGGAAACAAACATGTGTTGGTGGGTGTTGGACTTTCCTTAGCCGAAAAGACTATCGAAACGGCAATCAATCTTCGCTAGTTTTCTTGGTCAATGGGGTGAGCCCTCTCCAGAGACCGGATCTTTCAGGGATCCCTTTCCAGAGTCGTGGGAGCTTTCCGGCGAGCTTGACGAAGAAAACAACAAATATGATGTTGCCCTTCTTTATTGCAGCCCTTCATCATGGCATGGCAGCTGTCATTGTTCCATCCTCACATGACTCGGTAGACCGGTTGTTTTGGAACACACAGAGGTTTATTGATTATGTAGCGATGCCCTTGTTCCTAATAACGTCCTTCCTCCTAGTAGCGATGCCAGGAGCCCCTAGTAGCGTCCTTGCTCATCTTGGAACACATGATTGATTACGATCATTTTGGAATACACACCCTCTTCCGCAGAGTCTTTCTCTCTTTGGACCAAGAAAGCATCCACTCAGCCTTGCTAGAAAAGCTGGGACAGGGGAATCACTCTTGAAATCTGATTCTGTGGCTTTGACTCTTTGTTGTTTGAGTCCTTTTTTCGGGGAAGGACATCAGCTTTCTCTGTTGTGAAAACAATGGATCGAATCAACACCGTCAAACTTTCTGGTATCCACCAAGCTGACTGTGAAGTGGTCTTCTCTCTCCCATGGATCCGTCAAACATCCAGCACATGGGCCGGTCGCTGGACACGCTGGGTTTCCCGTGCGACAGGTCCCAGGTGTAAACAGCGAGGAAGAAGCAGTTGAAGCAACCGAAGACAGCACCTGCAGGGCACCCGGAACAAACTCAAGCCATGTCCTTTGCATTCGTACAGGTCCGGTGACTAAGGTACATGTAAATAATTGTGCTCACAGTGCCTGGCTTAAGTATATCTCTCTTAAAAGGGAAGGAATACGAACTATTGTGACTTCTTGCTACGAATCTTCATTACAGTACCTGTGTCTTCCTCCCCAAAAAGGCACTTTTGGCATACTGGTGTTTATTAGGACACATTGCAAATGTCCATTCCCTTACAATTGGAATTGCTTCATCTGCGGCTATTCTTTGGCTTTTACCATACTAATCGATTTCATAAACCAATGTTTGCTTATTTAAAACAACACGCAGGAAAATCTCAATCTCATGGACGGTGCCGTGCTATCTAACGGTTCAGCATGTCTGCTTCATTTTACTTTCTAAGAGCTAAAGCTTGTGCTTGTTCTTCCTCTACTTATCTGGCTTTCTTGAGTATTTCCTTCGTTTTGATAGAAGCAGGAAAACCACGTTTATCAGGGTTGCACTCATCAAAGCATGACAATCCCGATTGTCGTGTTCTGCAGAACGGACGTTTCTTCTCCTTCTCGCTCCATGTCCTATTTTGCAGCATGGTGGTCTTCTCTTTGTTTTACCCGGGCATTCCAGGTGTGAGTGACGAGGCTCAGCTTCATCTCAACCAATGTAGGAAACTAAATATTTCTCACAAATCCCCGCTGCGGAGGGCTCACCTGCCATAAGTTCATTCTAGAATAATCATCTACTGTATAGTACAATAATTACTTCATGCACGTGAATTACATGATTGCTCATCCAATCAAACCCTCATTCAAGCGATGGTTCATTCATGTTCATTCCAAACTACCAGAAGCCCTTTGATTGCCTAGAATCCAAAAATCATTTGTCACAGTTCAAGGCCTGTGACTGCGGGTTGCTTCCACCTGGCGCTGCAGTGCGACTCCACTGTGTTCGCCCAACACAGTGCTTCTTTCAGAAGACATAGTTGCTAGTCGCTGTTGTACGCTTTCTCCAAACATAGAAACCTCTGGTCAGTAGCTTCTTCATCATTCTTCCACACCCAAGGCAGCCTATGAATATGGAGACTGGTTTTTCAAACTACTCATTTGCCTTTTGTAAACTGAATGATGTGCCACCATCGAACGATCCAGCTGACCGGTGGGTTCGTGCCTGGAACTCGAACGACCGGTGCCAACCCGCACTCCCATCGGCCCCCCACCCGACCTTTGAGATCGTACAAACCTTCCAAACCAAATTCGGGGGGCAGCAGCCTGTTTCACCTGTGTTTGCTCCCGAACGGCCACAGGTTCTGTCCTTCCTCCGAAGCGCAAACCCAGTCGACGCGCGGCCAGTCGCTTTCAGACCGTTGAAAACCGAGCGTCGCTGTCAAACCCGCCGGCGGCACATCAACAGGTCCGACTCCCACATCAAGCTTCTCATTGAACCCTGTGGGACGGCAAGCACGTCAGAACTTGTGGAGTTGGAGTGGAAACAAGCTGAGGATTTCTTCGTCTACCAGGTTTGTGGTGAGAGCTGGCTGCTCCAAGTACATTATGGGACACAGGAAAACAAGTCACGAACCAATACATCGGGGCAGAAAAATGCAGAAAGTGCACTAGAGCTGTCTGTGGCTAGTTGGAAGCCAAGCACTGCTAGAGCTGTCTGTGGGTTTGGTCTTTCCTGTCTGTAGTTCCGCTGTAGGCTGTAAGTTAACGGATGTTCAAGGTCAGCTTTTGGTTTCAGCTGTAGAGCACTGGTCAGTGGCGATTCCCTGTTTGCCATCTCGAAGCGCTCAACTGAGGAAGAGAAGGAGCGAGACAAGAACAGGTCACGACCCTCCTCTCTGGCCTTCTCCATGGCTGCAAGGTCGGCTACCTCTCTCTGCTGCTCGATGCAACACGGCTGACCAAAGGGCAGCGGATTTGGCCAATCCATTTTCACGCGGACCACCAGCCTCCTGAAGTTCCAGCTCTTCCAAGTCAAGCTTGTTAGTTTTACCTGCATAAGTTTTCCCTTAACATTCTTGAGTCAGAGTATCACAGCATCTGTCTGGGGGATCTGGGGAATCTCTACGGTCCCTCACTCCAAACCAAGCTATACCAACCTGCCAAGCTATACCAAGCTATACCTCATCGTTTTGTGCTCGTGGCTTTTGTGTTGTCCCAACAGTAGCCCTGCCCTGGGAATGAGCAGATTGCTGATGTTGGATGCGTTCTGCTCATATTCAGCCCCTTCACCAAAATGTTTGGACGATTCATTGACTCATTCATACATCTCACAATTGTTAAACACCAATCCCCAAGCGAAATTTATTAGTAAAGTAATAAAAAACAACATAACCCACCACTTGGTGTGATGTTACAAATTCTTCAGTACTTTTAGCACAGGTATACTTTGACGATGGCATGCCCCAGTTGCAATCATGGTGTCTCAGCTCAATCTTTTCCACACCGAACTAGTCATCCAGCTCCATGATGACTTGAGGTTGGGCCTCGCACATGTCAGGATGTTTGTGGCAAGATGCACTTAGCGGTTTCTGGACATGCAAAACCCTCTTGTTGTTGGTCCTGTCGAAAGAACATGAGATCCTTCGTTGTCCATTTGTAGCGCATGAGCATTCTATCCAAAATATAAGGTGATCAACATCAGCAACGGTCAATCTGTGTCAAGTAACTAAAATATACTACATGACAATATAACTACATTGCTTTTAAAACATGGACTACAACATGTTGCAACAGGCAAACACGCAAACCATACCAAGCCACGGGTGGCTCCTCTCAATGAGTGCTAGCTCTTGATCCAAGTGATGTCATTACAAAGTCATTCTTGAACCAAAAAAAATGTCAAAAGCTGGACACCCACATCCGTGTAGAAACCGCGCCTTGGGGCGGACGCGGACCTTCTTTCCCACCTGGCGGAGTTTCGGCAGTTTCGACACGGTCCAGCCGGGCATCCCGTCGACTGAGCGTCGAAAGACCGGTTTGGTCTCTACGGTCTGACCGCTTTTTGCAGGATGGCTTTCAGCCGCTGGCGCGAAGGCAACAGCTGAGGTATTGGGTCAGCACGACCTGGGGCGGATGAAAGTCTGGGGAATATCAACGTGTTCTTTGTTTGTCTGTTTTTGGCCCTGGCCCTGCTTCCTTACTTAATTAAGTAGACGCCTACTTAATTAAGCAAAGGAGTAGGGCCCACGCTACTAGCAATAGGACCATAGGAAGCTACTAGTAACTGGACGCAGGATAGCTCATGCTTCTTCAAGGAAGCTCCGCCGTCTGAGGGCAGGCTTCAAGGAAGTTCCGCCGTCTGAGGGCAGGGGGAGCTTCCTTGAAGAAGCGCTCGCACTAATGATTTGGTTCCTAGATTGTAGGGAAACTCAACTCCATGGAGCATCAGTTTTCCACAAACATTGCTTCCTCAATCAAAGCAGTTTGGCATCGATACAGTATCATTCCTAATTGCACAAGAAATTTGAGGGCAACATTCCAACATTGATGGGCTAGACGGTGGACGCCCTTAACTTATAGCAGCTTTCGCAGCCTTTGATGCCAGGAGTTGTTCCACCTCATCCCAGCTTCTCAGCAGACTTGCCTCTGCCACCCCAGCCTATGCTGCCTCCAAGAGGCCTTCTTCCTGCTCCAAGAGTAGCCTTATGCTCATGGAGAACACTCTCTTCGGACATGTTCCTAATAGCTTCTTGTTACTAGTAGTACGGCCAGGAGCCCATAGTAGCGTCCTTGCTCCTAGTAGCGATGCCCTTTGCTCCTAGTAGCGTCCTCTTGTCTTGTTTCTACGGCCAAGGATGCGCCAAATCTATCCATGGTCCATTGGATGGTCATTTCAAGAGGTCGAATGGAGAGATCTGGATGTCCAGACCTTCCGAGAATAAGCTGGAACAACGCAAGCTTTGGTGACTAGGTGGTAGATTGCAAGAGGAAGCACAACATGCTTGTATGCATATGTATATATAATATATATACAGTCATTATACTATAATGCATAGCTGTATCATGCTGTAGATAGTGTAAACATCTGTAATCCCTTGCCTCCAGTTTGTGGGTGAGATCTATGGAAGTACAAACCTCCGTCCCTACAACACAGTATCCAGCATTTTGCAAGCGCCAATCACTTGTTTTGATCAAGTGCCTCTCAGCTGCGTGCAGGGTTGACACGGGCATCTTAAACAGCCTTCTCACTTCAAAACATTGCGGAGTGAATTTGCACCACATTTGATTGTTGCCCTGCATTGCACAAAAGCACCACAGTCACAAATGCATGTCCTAGCGTCCTAGCTGCAGTAACTCCATTTCACATTCAGTAGTAGAGCCGAGGTTTGGTTTCCAGTGATACTGGAATCCACTGAGGAGTCTTCAGTTTTGGATAAAATCCACCCAGTGAAATGACCTGCACTAAAGATCGCCAAAGGAGCACCGCATAGCATAGCCACCAAAAGGTTATAAAATGTTTCACCTTCGGAAGGTATTTGATATGCTCCTGATTCCTAGTGAGAGGGTTTTTGGGTGCTACGGTGGCTGAGGTTCGGGCAATGCCACCCAAGCACTGGTCCGAACTGAGGCCTTCAGTCCGAACCGAATGTGCCATGCGAACGGTGGGGAAGGAGGGACCCATGAACCGATGAACACTCTGGGTAGAACGGAACAAACTAATGGCACGAGATTCAGCACCTATTAGGCGTCAGTGTGGTGGTGACATTGCCGTACTTAAATTCCGTTCGTAGCGTTCTTGTTCCTAATAGCAAACATTGTTATTGTTACTAGAAGCGATGCACTTGTTTCTAGTAGCGTTCTTGCTTCTAATCTTAAATGAGTGACGGCAATGTCGAAACCGCAGTGCCGGATCGACTCTGCGTGACCTCGTCAGCAGACGTTCCCACTCCATTCCCCGCAACATCCGCTATCTCCATGTCCTGATCCAGACATCGAATATACTATTGCCGACACATCTTGCCACTGAACTGTATACTGTCGCTACTTGGAAGTTGGTTCAACTCCTACCAGCTGGGGATGAACCTCTTGCCTACCATAGCATATCAGCATCTTCGAGCGATCCTGCAGAGTCAACGACCCCAGGGTTGCGCCTCTGCTGCGACGAGGTGGTGTTGAGGGGGGCGAACCTCGTGGAAACAGCGAAAGAAAACACTCGTGGAAACAGCGAAATAAGCCTTGTGTACTACGGCTACTTATATACCTCAATGGTTGATGATGTTCTTTGTCTTGTGCTGGACTGCGCTGGGAAGGAAGGGTCAGTTTTTCCAGGGACACGTGAATGGGGCAAATGGCCTCTGCAAAAACATTTGGGTTCACTTCATACATGAAACCGAGCATTGCAAACGAGCGAGTGATGAACATCTCACTTCACAGCAAGCCCAGCGTTTATGAGGAATGGGGCCAAGGTCAATTAGTTGATAGACACTCACTACTCCGGCATAGCAGTTGGAGTCGATGTCGCCGATCGAATCCACCAACGAATCCCAGCTACGGTGGTGCATGTGTGCTGCACCTGGAAGCAACTGGCACCATAACTCTCACACTTCTTTCTGGCGCAGGTCACTGCGCCAATCAGCGCGGTGCACACAAAAAGACGCTGCTAAACCAAGTGACGTCGCTGCCCCAAAGACGCTGCACCAAATCGATGTCCTTTAAATACGCATTGGACGATCAGCATCCCAGCATAAGAATCTCAAAGTTGGCATAGTGTGTCACCCATCAAAGGTTTCATACGCTGTCCTACGCAGCCGTCCTGCAGCCGTGGACACATAAGCATCCCAGCCAAGTGACGAGAGGACTCACGTGACCCAAGCCCGCAGCCTGCACAGCAACCGTTGCAACTCGTCGAAAATAAAGGTATTGTGTGGAAGTCTTCTCGGTACCTGGAGTATTGTGTGGATGAAACACAGTTGATCCATGAGGGACATGCCTTTCATGACTTCAAGCGTTGTTTCTGGACACCAATTAGGAAGACTCCTCAGAATCTTTGCTTGGAATCCTTATGTGTTGCTTTTGTTCTTTGAGAAGGGGAGCTTTCATTTCGATTGCCTTTAAACCTGCAGCATCTTTCCATGGCGAATTGCTTCCAGGCCACCCCAGAATCCCTTGGTGATAACAGTGATAACGATGAGTCGACATTATGGATGAATGACCAGAGAGTTCTTACTTTGGTTCAGAACCAAGCTTAGCCTGAAAGTTTTCTTCCGTGTTCTTCGTTGTGCACCCGGGCACCCAGCGGGCAGACTGGAGCTCAATTCAGTCACAAGCCCTGCCGGCCACCACGGCACGACCACCGAAACAGACGCTCTCTCGCACCGTTCAGTCCCGCCGGACCATCACATTGAATTATGTAACCATTACACAATGCCGATATCAAAAAATACATGGTCATTTCAGCAAGAGTAAGAGGATATACCACAAAGCCAGCAAAGCCGATTCACACACTGGGGATAACGATATAAATCGTACTCCCTTGCGATTGCCATGGGGTCTCGGGACTATCATCTTGGACCGCGCCGGCCTGACGCATGGGCCAAGCTTGGCCCTGCTGGTCATAGATGGCCTGACAGGAACAACGCACTGTTGAACCGAGCTAACGACACTGTTGATGTGATCTCTGAAGAAGGATCCTGACGTTGCAGTTCTCAAGCGATCAAAGAAACTAACTTACAGTAGATTACATGCACTTTCAGATAGGTGTTCAACAGGGTCTTTCCTGGACTGCAGGTGCATGAGTGTACATGAATGAAATGGGTCAGGTTTTTCCATTGTGTTTGTTAAAGGTTTGCCCGCTCCACACTCAAAAACACACACACAAAGTAAACCACTATACTGGTATGCGCACCAATGGCTTGTTTCGCCTCCAATAGCCGTAAGAGGAGCATCTCGAGACTGGAAGGGCCTCGTCTCGCCGCGTGCTTCCAGGTTCAGGCCAAGATATGGGAATGCCCAACCACATGGGAAATTTAATTGGAAGAAAAAGGACCCTTCGAATGTGCAGCACCAAGGTGTTCATGCCCAGTTTAGTAGTATCTTCATCTCAGTGTGCAAGAAATTGTGAGGTCATTGAATGTTGCCAGGTGAACATGCGAATGTCATTGCTTCTCCTTGCCTGGAGGTCCTTTGAGCACTATCGCGGTGCTGAGCAGCTTGTCCAGGCGAGACAAATTCAGGTCACCTGAGCCTCCAGGAGCGCACAGAGGGTGATGAAATCACTGAGGACTGGAGGATTTGGACATGAACAAGTAACTTAGCGACTAATAGCAATGTCCTTGTTACTAGTAGCGATGCTACTAGCTACTAGTAGCTTCTTGTTACTAACAGGAAACAGCAGAATCAACTTTGGGCGAAATGCTTTGAAGTGCATGCTTACTAGTGGTCGAGACAAATTTAGGCGATACCAGTCGATTCATGAGCGAAGACTTTTGGAAACAGGAGACTTCCCCCACTCCAAGGTGCCCACCATCAGAATTTCCCAAAGGCCACCTTCTCAACTTTCAGCCCGGGCGGGAATTCATGGCCCTATGATTAACGGACATATGATACTTAAAAAAGAACAAAACAGTGAACAAAACAGGGGACCACCAGAGCGCGTATTTTATGTGTTTTTGCTGCCTACTTCCATCTATGTGCTATAAACTTCCCACTGTGGCCTGCATTCATGCTATGTGTCTGTGAAAGCTGCCTCAATGTCATGTGCACTGGAAAACAAGCACAAACAGTCTCGAGAAAATATAGAGAAAATCAATAACAACCTAGGAAAAGCAAAAAAACCTTGGGAAAACCAAAAAAAAAGAACAAAAAAACATTCCTCAAGACTTCCCCATATTTTTTTTGGTCTTTTTTTGGTTCTTTTGTTCTTTTGGTTTTCCCAAGTTTTTTTGGCTTTTCCTAGGTTGTTATTGGTTTTCTCAATGTTTCTTGTTTTTTTTTTCCCTGTTTAGGTCAATCTGTGTTATTACTATTTCGTTCAACCTTCAAGTATGTGAGCCTAAGTCTCACCTAAAGGCATATGTTATTTGCTCTTACAATGAAAGCGTCTGAGCCCACCACTCCCTTTGTCCTTGCGGAAATCTCCATGTACAAGTCTGTGCATTAACTTCTGATTGGTACCAATGTGGTTGCCAATTGCATGTCCAATCAGCTTGACATGAAACTGTAATGATACCTTCCAATTTACATGAAATTGTTATGAATCTGTGTAAGCTGTAGTTCTAATTCAATGCTTGTTGCTTTTGCTTCGGCTTTGTAATTTCGAAGCCTCCTCGACTTGTGATCTTGTAGCTCAAGCGTTTTACATCGTATTCTGGCGAACTTCAATTCCAATTTCTTTCTAATTCAACTCTCATCTAATTTTAAATAGGTTATAGTTATAGTTCAATACAAGTTTAGTTGAAATTTGGTTTTAATTCAGTTCTATCTTCGCTCTAACTCAAATCCAATTTAATTCTACCTAATTCTATTCTAGCTCTAGTCTATTTAGTTTAAGAAAACACATGCTACAAAACCCCGTGCTTTACAGTATTTTTTTGCCCTGGGAGTGCTGGGAACAAGGCTAAAACTCTTTTTTGAAGTAAATAATTAGATTTCTTTATTTACAGTAATCACTGGAAATAATATAGACATATTAAACTTGTTTTATGTATAAGCTTCTAATTCAAGAGCTTCCCTCTAGATCTCTGTGGATGATCATTTCTACGATAAACATATATAAAAGCTTTCCTCTGGATCTCTGGAAATGATCATGTCAATTTAAACATGCTATATATCAGTAAATTTGGTATTCTTTCAAGAGCTTTCATTTCATGAAAACACACATGTATGGGATATCTACTTTCCCAAAGATCCAGAGGAAAACTTTGAAAATGCAAGCTCTTACCCGCAGAAGTCTAGAATAAAGCTTTTAACATACAAGGTTTCTATATAGTTGTTAAAATCTAAAAATGATTATCTGCAGAGATCTATAGAGAATCTTGTGTAACATAAACGCGTCTATATAACATCTTTCCAAATCTAAACATACTTATAAGCAGAGATCTAGAGACACTTTTATGGCCTGCTTATTTCCTAATTATTTTGTTCAAAACCATCTGAATGACTGCTTGCTGCTTCCAAAACAATAAAATGACCCTGATTCAGGAATACATAATATATTCATATAGAGAGAGCAGGAACAGATTATTAATATATATATGTGTTTATATGGAGAGGGGCTACCACTGAAGCATTTACCTAAAATTTTGGGAAAACCAAAACCCAGGCCCCATGTTAGAGTAGAGTGGTCTCTTCTGCCCTGGAGTGAAAACAAGCATCTTTGCATATCTTGAGCATCAAATGATACCAAAATAAAAAATTTAAAAAACAATTAAACAACTGCACTCTCACAGTCCCCCGCTCTCAAAAAGAACATGTCCGGTAGCACGAAACAAACCAGTTTATGCTTGCCGTCACCCTTCCAAAAGACCTTCCTTGCTCGGTTGCAAGGATTTTGCCAGTGACATCTTGTGCCAACTGAGCGATCAACGCTGCGCAGGTATCGATCGATGCGTTAGGAACTGCATTTTGAATCATTTTGATGCATTTTGTTGGTTTCCTCCACTATGTGTTGAATCTCTCTCTCTCTCTCTTTGATCAAAAAATAATTGCATTTCAACTTTCAGAAACTGTGCTTTTTACTTCTTTTTTCACGAACTTGTCTATCAGTCCTTGGATGGCATAGTAGCTGGTGGGAGTGAATGTGTTGCAGTGCACCACACAATCTCTGCAAGTCTTGCCACGCCTCTTGAAGTGGCCTGCAGCAGTGCTGCACAGGGTATACATTTCCGCCGTGAGTATTAGCATGAATGAAACCTCTCTGGGAAGTCTGTGAACGTGCAAGGAGGCAAGTATACATATCAATGATGGGGTCAATGGCCGTGAAATTTATTGTTCCCTTCATTACCCGGGTTTCGAACGCCCAAAAGGTCAGCCCACCCACCAAGCAGGTCTCATGGGCGAACTGGTGGAAGAAACACATGACGCTATTACAGACTATCTGTTGTGCACAACTTATATATTGTTTTGCACTTCTTGATCGAGGATTGTCGTCAAAACAGGGTGTCATTCTGCCAAGTGACAAGAGTAGATTTCAGTTTTTGACGTGCAGCCCCCACGTCACGTAGACAAATAGCTCGGCACTGTGTTCTCACTGACAGAGGCGGGATCACATTTAGTCTGCCAGTGATGCTAATTTGACATCTACACTGTCTACACTGACAACTGCCAAAAGAAGGCACGCAATTGGAAGCCCAAACTTCACTTCACCTACACTCCAAACCAAGTGTCGCCCATGGTCGGAACAGAAACTGCAAAGCTTTGGAGTCCGTCGGCGAGGCCTCCAGCAGAGCGGCCAAAGCAAGCTGTAGCAGTGAAGAGCAGGGCAGCACAGTGACATCCTTAGGATGGAAAAAACAAAGACTGCTGTAACAAGGGAACAAAATCACAGGGATGGTAGCGACTTGAAGGACCTAGTCAACGATTCTGAAAACCCTCCAGAGTAGTGCCACAAATCATCCTGGGTACTGCACAATCATACAATATGTTCTACTCCCTAAAACACTTCCTTGTATGTATAAGTATATACAGTATAGAGTCATTCATATGACAAATTCCTAGAGTCCGATGCAGTGTGCAGTGTAAAGTAGGATATTGGGTGCGCATCCTTCATAAATGTTTTTGGGGCAGTTCATAGAGTCCTACAGAGCCCAAGCCAAAGTACACTGAGGACAACCGTCCGCTTCCATAATTCCACCAAACAAAAGCATCAACATTAATATCACGGCCACACTCAGGAATTCGGACGGCCAAGTGAGGAACTTGGGCTTCTTCATCTTTCTTCCCATTTGGGTGTTCTACTTTAGCAAGTCTACAAACGTCGGCAGTCACCAGTTGGGATGAGACCTCATGACACCAGGGAGACACTCACATCACAACCACTAGTCGCAGCACTGGCAGCATCGCTACGCCATCCAGCCCAAAAGCAAACATTGTCTCACTTCCAACAGAATGATCCTTCCATGTGCTGAGCAGTAAGATGCCGCAAGATCCGTACTGTAAGCAACATCCCGCAGCAGGAAGTGAACACATATAATGAAACTGATTTGTGAATACTTGTGATATCACGTCATCATATGAGAAGAGATAAGTGATCTCATCACTGAAGTGATCTCTCGCATCATTGAATTTCATTTCATATACAGTGTAGTACAATGTGATATTTATCATAATTGTTTTTCTAAGTACAACGGTGATCACCCAAGAATCCAAAGTGAGACGATCCCAAAGCATCTCTGGAGGTCCGACATCGCTCAGCACCAGGGAGAGGACACTGCTGGTGCCTGGTTCCGGTTTGGGGGGACCTTCAACGAACTGCAGGTGGTCGTTTTGATGTATACACCTGCCGTGTCTATGAGGCATCAGAACACCAAAAACACAGGTTGGTTGGTGAAGAGGTTGTTTCAACTTAACGTTGTTTAGTTCTTTAATGTTCCTTCCATGTAAGACAAAAACCCCACAGCTCGAAACCCTGGCTAAACGCTCCTGGCTAAGGAACTCCTGCACTTTCTTTAAATATTAATGGCAAATCTGAGATGTCTTCCGACCGTGCTTGTATTGGAGCCCACCCAGTTCTGGCATCCTCGCCTTGTTCCAGCGAGAGCCGTCCATCTGAGCATGCAGCTTCGACCGTCTCCATCAAGAAACGGATGAGCGCGGCATCCGCCAAGTCTGGAAGAAGTGGAAGCAGCCTCAACGTCCCCAGCCCCGGCGTCCCAATGTCCCAAAGCCACAGGTGGCGAGGCCCTGCGAAGCACCCCGAAGCGGAAGGCGCCTCGTCTTGTTGTCTGACTCGTTGGGGATCTGTTTGAACTGGAAAACTTACAGCTGTAGAACAATATAGAACAATTAATTGCGCGTGCAGCGATGCAAAGCAATGCTCTGAGCTCGACATGCCCAAGATTCCCGAAGCAACAGGCGGCACCAGGGTTGAAGCTCTTTGATGCTCTTTGTGCATGATGTGGTCGGCACCCTGCCCTGTACATTCATGCTGTACTTGTTACTGCAAGTTTCCATACGTTTCTGTACATTTCTGCCTTCCTGTTCTTACACAGTGAGTAAGGCTATCGTAGACTCCATGTGCTTCTCCGCCTGACTTCCTCTCTTGTACACCAAGCTCGCATGTGGCAAGGAAAAAAACACTTGTTACACTTGTATCAATTAGGATGCAACCACATATAACTTACAGCTGGCTTTGAACCAATTGATTCAATCAAGTCCGCGTACCCAAAACTTGCCACACCACATTTGATGCTACGTTTATCCCACACGGACACGACCACAATTGAATTATATAAACGCATGCTTGTAAACGTGAAAGCAAACCATGGAACAAGAAATCCTCAGAATCAAAACACTAAGGTTAGATTTGACGGTCGAGGTTATCGTAGATTCTTGCGGCTTTATTGTTTATTGCGTATTCTTTGTGCTAAAATCTTTCAGTGCAACCAACCGCCTTATTTCTAAAGTCTGTTCCTATGATACGTTCTTCTTCGAGCCACCTGGCCTTTAGTCGACTACCTAGGATAAAACTTATTATAGATCTGTCAGAAAGGCCAGGTGATACATATTCCGTCCTAACTACTGTGATAAACTCACATCATCCCATTCGGTCCGCTGCCTCAGGATCTCCTCTGCATCCGCAGCCTCCCGCTATCCATAGAGGAAGACCGTCGGACCGAGGACCAGTAGCGTCTCGAGGAAATTGCCAGGAGTTGTTCACTTCAAAACCATGGGTCTTGTTTGAGAGGTGGGTACTACGTGAGCGCAGTCAGGGCCGAGATTTAAAGAGATTTGGCATCCCCCATTGGTCAGGTCAAGTCAAACAAAGGCTGCAATTCTCAGAGGCACAACGTATTTCATCTCACACAGTAAAATAAGGTGAACAATGTTGGTAGTGCAATTGATTATCGATGCGTATTTCAAGAAAGCACAACAATGATGACTGATCAGTGATCAGTCAGTCACATCTCTATAGACAAAAGACGGTGTATTCTGCGGGAATTACGGCCTCCAAAAGGACGCATCTTTGACCTTGCAAGGCCTTTGAGACCAGAGGCATCGGCTCCTTGGGCGTTGCCCAGGTCTATGTCAAACAGGGCATTGCTCACGTGATGTCTGCGTTCCGAGGAATAATCATGCGTCCAAACATCCAGCAAAACAATCATGCCTAAGTGAACAATCAGAGTGGATTTGCTGGACATTCTTTTTACAAAGCTTGTAAGGATTACAGGCAGGGGCTGGACACCTGCCAAGAAACCTTGCAATTCAATGCAATTCGTACAAAGCAAACCGGATGGTATGGTTTCAATGTCGGTAGCCCCAGGGGCTCTGGATGCCCTGTACGTACCCAAGAAGTTGCACCATTAGCAGCTAAGGTGTCAACCATGGAAAAAGCACAGAGCAATCTATTCTAACTACAGAACACAACCCGTACCCCCTTCTTCTCTGCAGCCCTGACAAATTCATTAATATATATATATATATACACATATTATTCATTCTGCAACAGTCAGTTTCCACTCGATTGCACAAGCAAACGACACCCGCAGCATCCCACAGCCCTGCCACTGTGGTGCAACTGCACTTCAGGCCCCACATGGGAAGTTTGCGTTAAGAAAACCATGCAAAAGCAAATGCACTTCACCAGCCGGAGCATCGCGAATCGCTATGGGGAAGAACCCAAGGGCAAAAGCGTTTTTGCACCCGTCCTACATACCATGCATAGTGGAAGTAGCCCAAAGTGGCATTTCCAACACAAACTTTTGAAAGCGCCATCATTTCGTAACGAAGGACATTTCTGTAGTTCAACGGTACAAAGCAGTCCTCTCCCCCTGAAAACGCGATAACGTGTTATCCAAGGAACTCCTCTCGCGGCCAGGTAGCGGGCAGCCCAGACCGAAGGGATCTCTTCAAGCTCAGACCTGGAAAGAAGGACAAACTCCGAGCGGTCCAAGTAGTAACAGCGGCATCCCTGCTATATAGCAACAAGCTACCTGGCTCCTGGCACTAGTACTAGTAACAATTACTAGTAACAAAAGGCATCGCTACTAGTAGCAAGGGCATCGTAGCAAGAAGCTACTAGCAGCAAGATAACATTACAAAAAAGCAGGCAACATACACCTACGGTCGTATTTCCTCTCATGTGTCTTTCTGCATGGCTGGGAATCAACACTGATGTCTATACCATACAGCGTTGCACCATACACCAAATGAACAACCAAACGAACAGCTCAGAAGGAAGTCTGCATGAAATATCTGAAGTTCGTTAGTTAGATACGCGTAGTATGCAAGGTTGCTTTGTTTTGACCTAAATCCACACTCCTTTTCCAGCGTATCTTGGACTTTCCATGGGGCCCGCACAAAACCTGAATTTGACCCCTAAGATGAAGAATGCAAGCTGCTGCGGAGCTGGGAAGTTTCCGTAGCTCAGACCTTTTTGGGGGTCCCTGTCGGGCTCCGTACTCGGAACTACTTCCTGCCGCGTCTTGGAACGTATCTTCTAATTACAGTCATTCTTGGCCACTTCCTGCCACTTTGTGCTCGGGTTTCGGCGAGCTGCAGGGTGTAGGACTTCAGCGGCAAACCGAGAGTTGCTTGTGATTCCTGGGAGGACAGGGGTTTGGTTCTCCCACTGCGGTCTCATTGACACACAAGCTTCTTCTAGACTGAGACGCGCTTTCGTTAGAACACGCTCTCGTTCGACTACCGTTGGTCCAACAGCTGTGCTACACCCACAGGAGCTGCCGTGCTACACACACACACAACTGGCCACAACCGGGGCGGAGCTCAAAGGGGATCCAGAACCGGGAGAGGACCTTGAGGATCTCGCTGGGATGTGTGGGATGTGTCGCATTTTCCCTGGCACTGCAGCAATGCTACACTCAACCCTCACCATCTATCACATCATCACGGAAAGAAAGCACACAAGGTCCTTGGCTAGCTTCAGAAAAAAAGGCAGCATTCAAAAGGCCAAGCATCACAATGAGCCACCATGCTTTGAAACCAGGCGGAAGGCTCGCCTTGGGCATCATGCAACATGACCATTGGCCAAACATAGTGAAAGAACTCTAGTTCCATTGAAGTATCATACCATGAATTGGCACCGGTGTTATCATTGATCATCATTGTCAATCTTATTCTATGGCAAATGGTTCTTGAATATTCTTGATCAACCATCGACTGACACGTGTGAGTGTGACAGGACAATGGAGGACTGATGTAAACCATGGCTGTCCCGCAGTTGACCATGACCCGGTGTCCCATGGTCCAGGGCAAGGTGCCTGGCTGGTGCTGGAGCAATCCCACAGAAGGACAAGCATGTTCCTCTTAAGTCTTTTGGGGCCACCCAGCCCTTTTGTGCCACACAGAAACAGCCTGATGAAAGAACAGAAACCACGACAGGAGAAGCCACAGAAACCTCAAGAGGTCCCCAGTGGCCGATGGGCCCCAGCTCATCCGCTCGGAGGCTGTCAATGCTCGTCTCCATCTCGAGTTCTGGTGCCTCCACGACATGGGAAATGAGTGAAGCTCTCTTATTTTTGGCCGAAATGGAGCTCGATCCTTCCAACTGCCGTCAAAGGGAAAGAACTGACCTTAGTGTACTTGTTATGTAAAACAAAACAGGGGAAACGCTGGCTGAAGGGCTTCCTGCTTCACGCCTAAGTTTCAACCGCTGGATGAAAGAAAGCTCTACAACCCAAAACACAGAATGGGGACATCTGGAATTTAGTTAGATGCCTTGAGGTGGGCAGGAGGGTCTATATAGACAAACCCAAAAACCTTATGGAGTTACATCACGAAACCTGCGAAACCAAAAGTGATGTACTGGAACTGCAGTCCTCCTGGTCAACGATGTTCCAAGTTTGAGCTTTATACCGTCATCCCCTGAGTTTTCTTCGTATTTACGAACGACGAGTCGTCTTCGATTCTTTCGCCGCGATGTTCAGAATGTGCGTCGTCTAAACACATGCATTTCGGGTGAAACAAAGAGACATCACGGCCGCTGTTTAAAAATATCGACCGCCGGACCTGAGACAAAGTGGTAGAAGTGATACCCTGCAGTCCCAGGGTCTGGCCACTCTCTTAAACACAAGATAAAACACATGTTTCTCGGCTGCCATGGGCACCCAAATCATGAACACATGGGGTCACACAGCTGTTTCAGGAGAGCTACTTATATAAGTCATCTCAACGGGTGTTTTGAATTCTGACCACAAAAAATAACAGCGTTGCTTCAAAAGTGGCTAAAATAAACTAATCACATCCTGCTGTTGTGAAATTTTGACTCTGGACATGAATGTTGCTTCAATCACTCATGCTCTGCTTATATTGATTACTTGACACGGGACGCTTTGCACCGTCCGAGTTCGGGGGCCCACGACTGTCTGGCTGACGCCGTGGATCTCAACAACGCCGGAGGAGTGGGTGAGGATGATGGTCGATGGAATGGTCAACGGTGAGGATGCTGAGCTCTTTGAGGTTCAAATACATCCAAAGGATATGTCCCAACCCTCATCCTCACCACCAGGCTGCTGCACTTTCCCCATTGGAACCGTGCCATGCTGCGCTCAGGTGTGAAGCTTCTTAGCGCTTGGGCTTTGAAGTTAATGCAGGCCATTCCTGGGGGTTCAACGGCGGCATCTCCTGTGGGAGTGGGGAGCGCTTTTGCCGATGTGTGCCTCACCGCTATATTCTCCCTTTGGCTTGCGTCTACGGGCATCGGATCCGCGATCCGGTGCGAAGCTCAAGATTTGAGATGTCTGTAAGTGATTTATATAACTTTGTTAAAAAATGCACATGTCCAAGTTTAATTTTTAAAATCTCTGCTTGGAAAATGACATCTGCCTTCCAAGTTCTCCCCCACGCAAGTTTCTGTGAGCTATCCTCCGTTCCAGGAAAAATAATATGACATGTTGTAACCATGTGTGATGTGTTTGAAGACGCATATCAATGAGCAATATAGTCATACTCTGAGCTGCAATGGTTATTCTCTTTGAGGGGTTGTCAACATTGTTCAGCTGTTCCCCCCTAAAAGCCAGGGGACTTTCAGAAAACCTGTAGGTATATATATATATATAATAGTTTCAAACTGATTCAGACCTGTCATATACGTCACCCATGGCCCCCAATGAACCTTTTGAGTCACTGACCATCCCCAGTCTCCTCCGCATCTGCCAATTTGGCTGGCCCGCCTTGTGGGTGTGGTGTTCTACCAAAACGGCGTACAAAAAAACGAATGGCATGACACACACACCAAGATTATTCTTAAACATGATCTAGCTACCCCAATCCTGGCAGGTCACCACAAAATGGCGCAATTAGCTTCCATGAATATTGGTTTGGTTGCTGATTGATTAAGATCTCAATAACAATAAGCAAACTATAGCAAACTTCTAGTGCATTAGTGCATTTGTCGTGCTACCATGTGATTCCTGCCTGCCGTTGCAAAACATTCACCCCCATTTTGATTCCAACAAGCGTGCGGTAAGGACACCCCCAAAACACCTGTTTGGAGGATGAGCACGCGTACGAATCATTGTACATCCATGATTCAACAATGACATGGTCAATCATTTGGTGGCCGTTATATTGACTTGTCTCTTTTTTGGAGGATCGCTCAACATGGTAGCCACGTTGTTGAATCTCTTCCGCTGCGACAAACCTGGCCTTCCACTCTCAAATCCCGGTCTCGCTCATCGGAGGTTCCCGGTCTCGCCGGACAGCGCGGATCCTCCCAGAGCAAGGTGGGATGAAGAACATCTGCGGGCATCTCTGCAGTGGCATCCTGAACCGGAGAGAGCATCTGTGAACACGCGGTGGCAATCGTAGAAAAGCGGAGACGTGTGGAACTCGTTTGGCAACGCTGCGAACACTTCGACGTGGCTAGACTGGATCCGTTTGGAACCTAAAGGAGTAAACCTTTTGGCGGGGGCTTTAAGCTCAGGGTAAAATGATCTGTACCATAGTGGACAAGAGTCTATGCAACAACCAGTTGGAACAAACGAAGTGTGAGAAGTGAAATCATGTGGCAAATCAGAAGAGTATACAAGAGTGCTAAAGGAGATGCTGTGGACAATGAGATCCACATCCGGTACGAAGCTGGCTAGCCTTTTGAACTTCCAATTGATTGTGCCATCACTACGTAGATCTGGCATTTCGCCATTTCGTCCACTAAACAGGCTGATCACTCCTCCCAAATGCTGCCACTAGCTCGGTCCCTCAACGCAGCTGTCACTGTGGCACGCACAACCTGAATCTCCTGCCCCCCCCAAGTTGTCGCAGTGTCATTTGGAGCCCTAAGTTTCAGTTGCAAATTATTTTGTCCAGCATTCAAGTTTTGACGGTGCTAATTTCGGAAGCTATGAAGAGAGGCATGGCATTGAAAGCACGTCTTAAAGAACCAGCCTCGGATGTGTGGGATTTGTTTCTTCGTGCATTCCAAGCATCATAGTAGGTCTTCCTCACTTGCGAGTCAAGTGAAAGCAACCGCTTTGAAGAGAATGACACTTCAGGGATTGTGCTGGAAAACACACACAAAACAAACTGTTCCACCCCTAATGTTGAGCATTGTCGAGCTATGATTCATAACCCCTCTAGAAGGTCTGTTCTTTGGAGAGGGGTCTGCGAAGGTATCCAAGACGAAATCTCACGAGGAGAGATCCTCATAGAACGAAATGTATTCATGTAGAGGGATATCTTTTGGGTCTGGAATGGAAGCTATGCGTCGCGGTGGGAATGGAAGGTATGAGTCAAGTGTGGTGCTAAGTGATGGGACCTTCCCATTAGGAAGCAAATGAGGAATGACGGCTGCTGGATGAATCTGAGAGGAATCAAACACAGCAAAGAACATGAACGAAAGGGCTTAAGATTTGAGATAATTCCAGGGAGCCTTGAGATGCATTGGTGGCGGAGAAGGATAATTGGGTGAGGAGGAGGTGGTTGAGAAGCAGGATGCCAGCATGGATGATGCAGTTGCTGCGCATGAGCTCAAACTTGTTGAATTTGCTATACATCACATATATCCACCAATTTGGCCAATACCCTATCCAATGACTTCCACTGAATGGGCAAACTGCCAAAGGCATGAGCCAGCATTGAGTTAACATATGCAAAAGGTGTTTTGAAATTGAATTGGAGAAGAATGCAAACTGTCAAGAGGACCAAAGGGATTGGTGAAATTAAAGGGGCTGAAGAAAAGGAAGTCAGGCAGTTTTATTGCAAACAAATGACCGCAAGAAAGGTGGACCAAACTAATTTGTGTGTGTGTGTGTCTGTGGGGTAGTGCATTAGAACACAGGTGCGTACGGAACAAGGCGGACAAAACTAATGGAGGGTTGTTAGCTATTAATCATGTTCTTTGACAACTTGGTTCTCAAACAACTTCACATGGCCCGTGAGGCTCATGAGGACGTGCAAGCCAGGTCGACGAGCCAAGTGGTACATATCGGATCGTATCGAATATTTGAAGGTGCTGTTCCCACCATAACTTTGCTTCTTTCTCAGGATGTTTGGTTAACAACAAGTTACAAGGAAGCTGTTTATTGTCGGGGCTGGGAATGAAAGGATCACGAAGGGATGCCTGGTGGTATTTGCCCTGCTTAATCCCTCAATCGATTCTGGTGCAACCAAATTGATTCGCCGTAAAGTTGACCAGTCAAACCAAAGAGATCACACGAGGCTGAGGAGGTGTCAGTATTTTTCTTCAAAGTAACATGACAGTACTGTATCTTTGGGGCACCAAACACCAAGTCGAAGCAACATCGCAAATGAGACTCCACCTGCTGGACCCACCTCCCAAAACGAATTGCAAGTTACGTGCCATCTTCACTTGCGGAACCCTGCGCAGGCCCGGCCCACGCGTGGCGGCGCAACCGGCGGCGCACGTGCGGCGCCGAGGTTCAAGAGCGTGGGGACCGGGCGGTCGAAGCCACGAAGGCTCCGTCGCCAGGGCGCCTCCAAAATGGGCACGGCGATGCGAAGGCGGAAGCGCAGCTTGAGTTCGTGCAGCCGCGCCATGACATCCGCCAAGTAGGCCTGGTGATGGTGAGGACGGGTGTGGGGCGCAGGAGGGAGGCTGTGAAAGCTGCATGGTGTTGTGATGTGAAGTTACGTGGCGCGGATGAGTTGCCATGCAGGGGAACTGTTCTGAGGATTACAGCGATTATACTTGCCGGAGACAGGAGGGTCAAAGTAGGAATGTTTGTGGTATGGAGGGTCCTGTGGAATGGTGTAGGAGTGTAGGATCATGTGATACAAGGTGGATGGTGTCCAGATGTGGATGCCAAATGGAAACATCCGGTCCTTGGACCTTGGAGGATGGGAACCTGGTGGATGTCAGGATAGTTTGGACGCTTGAGGATGCTCACGGTTAGACAAACATCTGATAAAATCGTGATAAACGATAAACCATGATAAAACCATATAAAAGCCAGCATCTGGAAGATATGTTTTGGCAGACTTGGACTGCTCAAGGCCGCTCCAAATGGTCATTCCGACTTGGCT